TTTTTTATTATATAATTACTGTAATACATAATGCATATTAGTTCATTATGCATGTTCAATTCATACAATTAATGCATATTCATATCATCATAGTGCATATTTAGTTAATATAACTAATCATAACTATTAATTTGTGTAGATCAATGGTACATATTAATCAACTGAAAATGACATTAATTATATAGTAAAAAATAATAGTTATCATATTTAAATTAGTTATATAAAATGCACATTTAATTGTCTATCTTTGTTACACATTTAGTTCATGCAAAATGCGCATTGAGTAAATTCGCAGTGCATATTTTGTTCATAAAGCTTAGTTGATATTATTATTGCACATATAGTTCATAGAGACTATATATTCAATTCATACAAGTGCATATTTAATTCATATCAAGTGCATACTGAGTGGTATTTTCTTCATATATAATACTAGTACGGTCAGCGTTGAAGTCAACGTCATAAGTCAGTGGTCAACGACGCAACTCAGCGGGTCTCGCAGGACAACGGTTAACGTTGGAAGTCAGCAGTCAATGGTCAAATGATCTAAATAGTATTTAAATAGTTACAATAAAAAAATAAAAGGTTAAAATCTTGGTCACACATCTGGATCCCTATTTGATAGTTAGGATTTAGTCTCACATACTCATTTTAAATAAGTGGACCAATTGGAACCAATCCTTAGATATATAACAAAATTTAGATATAACTTGTTAATAGTTGTTCAAAAAAATATGAAAAAATATTAGAACTTCTACAATTTCTGAATTTCTACAATTTCTGAATTTCGGTACGATTTCAGAGATTTCTCAATCTTCGAACCATACAGATCCATGTTCAATCCTGCGTATGACATGTTAATTTCCACCAAAAATTATCATTCAAATTGATCAATTTTAAATATTACAGAACTATCATTGACTATTTGATTCCAACGGTACTATTTCTTATACACCACCAGAGTTACGATGATTATTAGCAGTGTTTTTAATACCATACTGGACCGGCCATTGGTACGGTACAATTGTACACAGAATACCGGATTTACGGTTATACCGGTTTGTACCGAGATCATACCGTAAATAAACATGGCCACGGGTCAACCGGCCCGCTGGCCCGGCACGGGTCTGGTCCGGTCAAACCCGTTGACCACGGGTTCGGGCCCGGCTCGGATTTCAACCGGGCCGGTTCAGGGTCTTATTTTTGTCGAAACTGGCCCGTCGGGCCGGGCCGAGTCGTATCAGGCACGGAAAAACAGGTTATTTTTTATTTTTTTTTTTACTTTTTTTATATAGGCGGGTCCAAGCCCGGGCCGGGCCGGACCCGGCATGGCCTAGGTTCGTGCCGGTTCAGGGTCGTGATAACCCAACCCTCCAGCCCGGCCCGCCATTTGGCCATGTCTAACCGTAAATACCGAAAAAAACCGGTCCAAAATACCGTCATAAAAAAAAATAAAAAAATTAAAAAAAAAAATTATTAATTTAAAAACATAAAATTTAAATTGGTAGTTAGATTATTTTATTTTTATCTCATTGGTAAGTTAAAATTAATGATTATGGTTATTTATTTATTTTACTTTTTTGCATTTGGTATAATACATTTATATATATATATATATCATTATATTTGCTAATCCGATAATACCACCGATATTACCGGTCATATGATAATACCGCGTACCGGTGGCTAGACCGGTATGGCCACCGATACAGTATTCAAAACACTGGTTATTAGTATATTTATTTTCCAAAACACGTGCACATGTGATCATCGTGATTGGTTTTGGTTTTCTCATCACCTATCTACTTTTGTAATTGTGGATTTCTAACTTTCGTCACAACTATTTGTATGGGCAATACAAGAATGCCTGAGCCAACAACATGTCGTTGAAAGTGATGATTAAGGTACTCAAAAGACAATTATCCTCAAGTTTGTTTGCAGTTTGACGTTGGGTAAAGGTCTCTGTCTTGGTTAAATTAAACCTTAATCAAAAGTGGACTCACAAAAGATCTCAAGTGAAACGAATACAAGCATATTTTTGGAATTCTTTGATATTAACACTTACAATCGTAAGTTTTAACATTTTGCAGCATCTAAATTGACCACTTATCACTTCAGTCAGTTAAATTTCATAACTAAATTGAAAAGAATAAATAGTTAGAAGATATTAATAGAAATGCCAAATCTTTTTCTTGTTTAATTGAATGCCTTAGTTTTTTGTACAAAATTTTGTTATATGCCGTATATAATTAGAGTCCCCAAACAAAGCCTAGGCTTATTCGCACGGGTTGTAGGTCAAGATAGGAGGGATGGGCCTAAGAATGACCTGCATGACAAAAAATGATGAAATTTAACAATTGTTATTAACCTTTTCAACATATTTCA